AAAAAAAAAAAAAACCTCTTCTGACCCTCCCCTGAATGCTGACCTTTTAAATTATTTCCAGTATTCTAATTATAAAGATGAACCAGTTTAAGACTAACAGCTAATCATGAAAACATACCTAAGTACCTAAGACAACAATCCACTAGAATATTTATTATGAACCTGCCAGGTCCTGTTCTAGGTAGCTGCAGACAGAATGACACGTAAGACAGAGCCCATCCCTGTTCTCGTGGACTTTAAATTCTGGAAGGAAGTTTAAAAAAAAAAAATCAAAGATCAGAGAGAAAATTACAATGTGGAGAATAGGGGTCTTACAGCTGAAAATTGCTGGGGGTGGGCAGTAATTTCGGTGCAACCTCTCTGAGGTGTTGGCAATGGAACTGAGAATGAATGGAATACAAGAGTCAGCTATATAACAATCTCAGGACAGAGTATGAGGCAAAGAACAAAGCGATTAAGATGCTGAGACAGGAATAAGCTTGTTCAGTGGGTGTGGAGCTGAATGGCTGGGCACAGTGAACAAGGTGAAACAAGATAAGGTTTGTGAGGTGGCCAGGGGCCAGATCACATGGCAGAAGTGGGGGAGGAGGGACCCTCATAGGCTAAGATGTTTGAACTTTATGCTGAGTGTGATCAAAACTTCTTAAGGAACAGGAAAGAGAAGGAAACATTTACTGGGCATCTAATGTAGTACTAGATTAAGTATAAATGTTTCTTCGGTGTACTTTTTTTGAGACAGAGTTTCACCCTGGTTGCCCAAGCTGGAGTGCAATGGTGCCATCTCAGCTCACTTGCAACCTCTGCCTCCTGTCTCAGCCTCCCAAGTAGCTGGAATTACAAGCATGCCCAGCTAATTTTTTGTATTTTTAGTAGAAACAGGTTTTCACCATGTTGGCCAGGCTGGTCTCGAACCCCTGACCTGAGGTGATCGACCCGTCTCAGCCTCCCAAAGTGCTGGGATTACCGGTGTGAGCCACCGCACCCCGCCTCTTGTGTTTTCTATAAAACAACTATGCATTCCTGGAAAACTTCACTTTATACAGGTACACACTAAAAGTAAAACTTTTATGAGAAAAAAAGTTAAGGAAGACCATCCCTATGGCACTTTGTAGCCAAAATATTAACAAAAGCAATCTGAATAAAAATGCAAATAAAAATGTTTAATAATAAGTTCCTAATAAACATATGACTTTCAGTTGAAGGAAGCACATATAACCATTTAAGTTTAGGCTTAAGGAATAAGAACATTAGAATGGCAGTTTCAGCAAAACCCAGTTTCAGCAAAAACAACATAAATCTTCACTTTGTCAACTAACCTACAGTTCTCTTCTAATAAAATGCATTCGACAATACAAAAGTCAGATTGCTTTAAAGGGTAATCTAGCCAGGCGCAGTGGCTCACACCAATAATCCCAGCAGTATGGGAGGCCGAAGAGGTGAGCAGGTCACCTGAGGTCGGGAGTTAGAAACCAGCTGCTGACCAACACGGAGAAACCCATCTCTACTAAAAATACAAAATCAGCTGGGCATCGTGGCACGTGCCTGTAATCTCAGCTACTTGGGAGGCGGAGGCAGAAGAATTGCTTGAACCCGGGAAGCAGAGATAGGGGTGAGCCGAGATCGCACCACAGCACTTGTTTCAAGGACTGGAACGTGGCTAAACTGAGCCAAAAGGAAGAATTCACAAGTGACCACCACCGCTTGTTTCCTTCAGCTCTTAGCACAGTTTGAGCTCTTAGCGTACTTTGAGCTTGACTATTGTTACCTGATGCAAAACATGAATAGGCTGGGGAAAATCATGCATGAACCAGAGCAATTTCCTTGGTATACTGACTAATTCCCCTATTTACCAATTACATGGGCCTATTCCAGATACAGACACATGCTGGAGCACAACCAAGTATTCTTTTAACTCATGGTATCTCTTTTATTCTAATTAAGTTCTTAAGAGATAAGTCATGGCATTTTGCAAATATGGGAACTGAAGCTCAAGAGAGGCAAGTAAAATGTATCCAAAGATTACCGCCACCTCCCACAACCTAACCTCAAACTTGCAAATACTCTTGGGAGGGCTTCAAACCAAGACCTTTAAATTCTACTACGTGCATTCACCATATTAACCAAAAGACCATTAGTATGCTGTTATGGTTCCTGTCATTACCAGTTTTCACTTGTGAAAACTCACTTCTATGCTGATTTGTCAGAATAAAGGAGCCAACCAACCAATGTATCTACTAGCAAAATATACATGAGTCATCTGGAAGAAAACACAAGAAAAAGCAAATGAGGCTACATAAAATAAGGTAGCCAGATTCACCAGCACATCTGACACACAATAAGGGACAAACCAAATAGAGGCGCAACAAACTAGAACACATACCCACTACAGGCCGGGCTGGTGGCTCCCGCCTGGAATCCCAGCACTTTGGGAGGAAGGAATCCCGAGGTCAGGAGTTTGAGACCATCCTGGCCAACATGGTGAAACCCGGTCTCTGATAAAATACAAGAAATTAGCCAGGTGTGGCGGTGGCGCAAGCTACTACCAGTAGCTGTAGTCCCAGCTACTCGGGAGGCTGAGGCAGGGGAAGCACTTGAACCCAGGAGGCGGAGTTTGCAGTCAGCACCACTGCACTCCAGCCTGGAGACAGAGCAAGACTCAGTCACCAAAAAGGGGGGGGGGGGGGGGGAGGGAAAGAGGGAGGGGGAGAAGCAGAGAGAGGGAGAGAGAGAGAGAGAGAAAACAAACCCACTACAAGAAACAGAACCCAGAGATACAAAAGATGAAAGTACCTACTTTAATCTGCAGACAAGTAAACAAAGGGTAAAAAAGGGAAAAGCCCATAAAATACACTCATTCTCCTCCCCGCCCATTAATAGTGCTTTGTCTGTTTTAACAACATTCAGAGGAAAATGAAAATGTTAATCATTTAAATGTTACTATCCTTGGAGTTTTTTTTTTTAATGTGCTGATGAATTTTTAAAACTTTTAAAGTATTTTTTAGAATATCACTCAAATATTGCTACAATTCATTTTAAGTTCAAAGTTTAAAAACCGAAAATCCTATATTCTGACAATAAATTCTAGTTTCTAGAAAGTAGCTCAAAGACAAAGGGTCATCTTCTACTTTAGAAGGCTCCAAATGATAACACAAATCTACGAAGACCCTGTCCCAACTAAATGTCGCTAAAATATCCAAGATCTCAAATCACACTGGATATTTTCTTTTTCTTTTCTTTTTGAGATGGAGTCTTGCTCTTGTTGCCCAGGCTGGAGTGCAATGGTGCTATCTCAGCTCATTGCAACCTCCGCCTCTGGGTTCAAGTGATTCTCCTGCCTCAGCCTCCCGAGTAGCTGTGTTTACAGATGCCCGCCACCATGCCCAGCTAATTTTTTGTATTGTTAGTAGACACAAGGTTTCACTATGTTGCTCAGGCTGGTCTTGAACTCCTGACCTCTGGTGATCCATCCACCTCGGCCTCCCAAAGTGCTGGGATTACACACCGGCCCCAGACCCACTATTCTGGATATTTTCATCAGTTAGCTAGAAGTGGAGGATGTTACCCCAGGCTCACTCTGACAACTCGATATTACCATCACCTACTCCTACTTCTTCCAATCCTGAACCTCCTCTATTTTCCCACTCTGTCTTGTTCCAACCCATTGTCATTAAAGGAAAATCTGACCTGGCTCAGGTGTAATCCCAGCGCTCTGGGAGTCCGAGGCGGGTGGATCACCTGAGGTCAAGAGTTTGAGACCAGCCTGGCCAACATGGTGAAACCCCATCTCTAGTAATAATACAAAAATTAGCCGGGCGTGGCGGAACAGGCCTGTAATCCCAGCTACTCGGGAGGCTGAGGTAGGAGAACTGCCTGAACCTGGGAGGTGGAGGTTATAGACAGCCAAGATCACGACACCATACTCCAGCCTGGGCGACAGAGCGAGACTCGGTCTTTTAAAAAAAAAAAAAAAAAAAAAAAAAAAAAAAAAAAAAAAAAAAAAAAAAAAAAAAAAAAAAAAAAAAGAACGCCCCTGACAGCCTACATTCAACAGCAGAAAACACAGGAAAATACAAGATGTCCCCATGCTAGACTGTGATAGCAGATGTGCAGAGGAGGAGGTCAGAAAGAGCCAATCGGGGCCGCAGAATCCATTGTGTAACAATGACTGGTTTAAAGAGACAAGGGACATAGAGTGTACACAACCTTTGACCTCTGAGGAAAAACCACAGTCAAAGAGAAGGGCAGCAGTAGATGTATGGACTGGGCATGCAAGACCACAGATCAGAAAAAAAAAAGCCAGGCAAGAATCATATGCCAGTAGTTCAAGGTAAAGGTTCACATTAGGAGGAAAAAAACCATGACCAAGGGGAAAGAGACTGCAGAGTACGTAAATATGAGGAAGAAGTGGGCAAGTCCAAACAACACCCCAATTCAGGTTTAACTGCTATGGTCAGGCCGAGGTCTTTTACCCATGTTTTGAGTATTTTCCTTGTTTCTCCTAGCAAGTTCTATACTGTTATGAAGCCAAAAGGATTCTGCAGCTAACAAAAAAACAAAGAGCAGGGTGCTAGGTTATCAAGCAGACCCTCGAAATTCTTACAGCACAGCCAGTCCCAGTGGCTCATCCCTGTAATCCCAGCACTTTGGGAAGCCAAAAGCAGGAGGGTCGCTTGAGCCCAGGAGGGCAAGACCAGCCTGGGCAACATAGTGAGACCCCCATCTCTACCAAAAACCACAAAAATCAGCAAGGTGGTGTGTACCTGTAGTCCCAGGTACTGAGGAGGCTGAGGTGAGGGGATCATCTGAGCCCGGGGAGGTTGGGGACACAGCAAGCCACGACCATATGCCACTGCACTCCAGCCCAGGTAACAGTTAAGACCCTGTCTCAAAAAGAGAAGCATTCTTACAGCAGTAAGTCCAAAGGACAACTAATGTGTGAAACTGGATGTATCTCCTTTCCACTTTTATATACGTGAATCACTCACAAAAGCAACAAGGGTCTACTGTACTAGCAAACCTAAACCTCAGAAAGAGCCTCATGGGATTCAACTTAAGAAGAGAAAGGCTGAAGAGTGCCAGGCCCTATACCAGATGCTGAGGATCAAGATGGGCGACCTGGGCTAGAAACAGATGACTAGTGGTCATCAGAGGCCAGGATGTTAATTTAAGATTGTCACAGAAAGACAGTTAATCTTCAATCAAATAGTTTAACTTCATGCAGGCAGCGTGCTATGGCACGTAAA